TCATATCTTGTTTGTGAAGTAATCAGAAAGAAACAAGGTTGCAGTACTGATTGTATATGTGGATGACATCATATTTATTGGAAATCATATAGAGGAAATAATGAAGATCAAACAGGCTCTGTTAAGGAGTTTGAAGTTAAAGATCTAGGATCACTTAGATCTTCCTTGGTATGGGAATAGCTTTATCAAGCAAAGATATATTTGTTTCCCAATGCAAGTATACCTTAGACCTACTGAAGGAGATCAGCCTGTTAGGATGCAGACCATTCACTACACCTATGGATTATAAGAAGAAATTTGGGGTAGAAAAGGAGGGGGTTCCAGTAGATAAAGGAAGATATCAACATCTGGTAGGAAAGCTTATATACCTCTCCTACACCCATCTAGATATTGGGTTTGTTGTGAGCATGATGAGCCGATATATGAGTAATCCTATGAAGGAGCACATGGAGGCAGTATATCAAATCTTGAGATATCTCAAGAACACTCCTGGAAAGGGGCTATTATTCAATAAAAATGAAGATAGAAAATTGATCTTTTATTCTGATGCAGATTGGGCAGAAAGCCAGGTTGACAGTCGATTGACCACATGATATTGTTCATTTGTGTGGGGGAACCTAGTGACATGGAGGAGCAAGAAATAATATGTTGTTTCCAGAAGCAATGCAGAATCTGAACTAATAGCATTATTAGTTACTATTTGTGAAGGAATTTGGATCAGACAAGTATTGATTGAACTGAGAATAAAGATTAAAGGCACGATAAAATTGAAATGTGACAATCAAGCCGCAATCAGTATGGTCAATGATCCAGTACATCACGACAGAACAAAACATGTTACCATTGATAGAAAATTTAAATATGAGAAATTATAGAACTCATAAATTGAAGTAGTATGTATCCCAACTCATGAACAACTTGCTCAAGTTCTATCAAAGGCACTACCAAAATCTCTACTTGATAAGTTTGTTTGCAAGTTAGGATTGTACAACTTGTACAACCCAACTTACCTAACTTGCACAACCCAACTTGAGGGGGAGTATTGAATCACACAGCTAGGAGGGGGCCCACGGCTTTGACAGGTCAACAATCCATGGGTTGCAATCGTGGGCCTACAATTAGAGATTTCCTCTTCTGATAAAACGATCCATAGGATGTAATTATTAGAATTAGTTAGATTAAATGACTTTTCTCTTCTGTTTATTATAATTAATTAGATTAAATATCTTTCTTTTTCTATTTGTTCTCTTAGAGTGTATATATATGTAATGATTCCAATGAATAAAATTTGAATTCAATTTCCCCTAAACAATTTCTTCTTTTCTTAGTGGTCCATCCATGACATATTAAAATTCAGCATACTCATTCCATTAAGTTATGAAAGATTGAGCATATTTCTTTTAAGTTCAGTTAAATGTTATAGATCTCGTGGGCAATGAGCAGCCATGCTTTAGGCCTTGCAACTTTCTCAATATAATCAATCAATATGATTATAAAGAAAATGTATAATTAAAAGGCATAAATATAGTAAAAAAAGTTAAAATTTGACTTTACTAAGGATACTTTTGACATCTTTTATACCCTTCATCACAGTTTATGTTTTTGGTATATTTTGTTGCTTTCTTATGCACATTAGGATCAATAGAACCTACAACCGGAAGCTCAAAAGTTAGAGTTAGCTTGTACTGAAAGATCTTTCAAATTGATCATTTTGGTAAAGGTTTTTTAGCCTTCAGCCCTATAATGAAATGATTATAACCTGTGGAGAGATGCATAGCTTGATTCAACTCCTAGTCTCCTATACTAATGTTTTGTGTTTCTTTACAAGCATGTTTGGCCCTTTTATTTATTATTTTTCTTAAATTAACATCTTTATCATTTAAATCATCATCATTGTTTTTCTCGTTTATTCTCTTTCCACAACCATTCATATTTATCAACTCTTGCTTCTTTTTTTTAGTTCTTATCCCGCTTTCTGTTTTTATTTAAAATAAATTTCTTAATTAGCTCTTTTATAGCTGTAAACAGTTTACAAAGGCCCTACATCTCTAGTAATACATGCTAGATGTTGTTTAAGATGGACATCACCACCACTTGTCTTCTTAAAATAATAAATTTGACTCACTTTTTTAGTATTACTTATATCATCTGAGATTGTTGCCCGCCAATATCTAAATTTTATAAAAATGTCATTACTGAGATGTTACCATAATATAGGTACAAATTTTTCAATAATTTCTTAAATAATCTAGTAAAATTTTATTTATAAGTTTTAAAAAAGTATTTATAATTTTAATAGCAAACTATGTTTGAATAAAGTAAGTTTCTAAGACCAGTTAAAAAATAAATGAGTTTATTTTAAATATCAACATTTATGTAATTATTAAACGAACTTTTTTAATTTAAGATGGAGTTCCTTTCTAATTTTATCATAGAAACTCATCATCATTCTATAAATCAACAAATGTATTCGGTTCTAATTTTTGAGTCTATTTTTTATCTTTTTGATACAACATAAAATATTTGATTTTAAATTTAAATATATAAATATAATTTTCCAATTCTCTAAAACCAAAATATTTACTTTTAATTTTAAGATTTTATTTTCTAAAATCTAATGGTCTAAAACTAAATGTGTAATTTCCCTTCTTCTAACTCTCTAATCTTGAAAGCGTGAAATTTCACTCACCCTGAAAACCTAAATTTTCTAAATTTCTATATATATATAATTTTCCCCTTCTAGCTCATAGTCACCAAAATTACTAATAGCCTACCTAATTCCTAAAGCTTAAAAATCTAAAAGCCTAAAACACCATTTCTAAGATAAAATGAAACCTAGTAACCCCACAATCCCCACCCTCCCAGCTAAATTGATAGCAGCCAAACTAATTCTTTAAGCATAAGATTAGCTAAAAGATAAAAGTTACAAAAACCATTCCTCACCCACTCAGTTGTAGCCTCCCTTCCTACTCCCTGATAGATAAGCTCCCCATATGTAGTTGCTGACACTTTCCTCCTTTCTCCTCTTACAATGGCCATGGACGTGAGAAACTAGAATATGGCAATGGTGAAGACAAAGTCAAATGCTTGGATAGAATTATGGAATCATGCATGTGTCTTTGATGTCTCCCCTCGCTTTGCTATTAAATGAACCCCACCCTCTCCAGCTCTCCTTCTCATCAATGATGAATTCCTCTGCTAGCTTTGGAGTGTTTACTAGTATGATGTGGCATCTTATGTGCTTGAAAGTTGTGATCTTTAAGTTCTTGCAGGATAAAAACACATTGAGGCATGTGAGCGGATAATCTAATAGGTAGAATTGGGCCATGCCAAAATTAAAAACAAGGTTGGTGGGATGAAACAAACTAATTTAGTTTTGTTTAATAAGAGTTGATTCAGCCGAGGTTGAAATTTCAATTGGTTTTGGGTCTACTTTGTATGAAATTTTCTATTTTGGCTGAAACTTAAAAGCTTTTACCAAGTGTGATGTATTGTGATGCTTATTTATCATCAGGGCACTTGTTAAACCCTTACTTTTTAAGGATTTCATTGCGGAATTTTTATCTTAATTTTTCTTTTTTCAAACTGAACTAGTTTTCTTACTTGTAAATTAAATTTTTTATGCCACATCTGATTTGTAATAATTTAAATTGCATGACCAAATCATCATTCAAGAAAGGACTAAAAAAACTGTCCATGTAAATTAGAGTTCAATGATGGCTTGAAATTCATAAAATAGATACAATTCATTGTCTTCATTAGTTTTATCCAACTATCGTCATGGTTCATACTTCTAGACTCGTTTCTACACCTAAGATGCAGCTAAGGTTTCGTTTGGGACGACTTTCTTACTGCTTCTTAAAATAACTTTTTAATACGAATATTAAAAATTTTGAACTAAAAAGCTTCTTTAAGAAGCAATAAAAAAGTCATCCCAAATGAATCCTAAACCACCCAGAGCACAAATTTAATGCTTAATCTTCAATATCTTAAACCCTAAAATTTTGGAATTTGGATGGTTATCATTTGGGATCAACGAAAAACTAGATTTGATGCTGCCACTAGTTATATAAGGTACCTTAGTTGAACAATCATGATGCGTAATTACATGCTATTGATCTTACAAAAAAAATACTATTGATGTTGTTATCTTTCAGACACCTTTTGAACTCGCTTGTAATCATGCTTGGCCTATGGTGAAATTGGTAGATGCTTAAAATTTTGCCAAGGTTCTTTGCAAAACTTTAAGGTGATCTAACATAAACAGATGTGAATGCATAACTCTGATATTCTCTGAGTTACAGCCTTGGCAAACAGATTTAAAATTTGATTAGCTATTGACCAACCATTTTGAAGAGTTTTTTGTTAGACCGCTCCATTGGACCGGTCCGTGCGGGACCGGCCCAGCGCAAACTGGGCGGAGAAATCTCCGCCCGCGGAGATGTCGAGTCTCTGAGTTACAGCCTTGGCAAACAGATTTAAAATTTGATTAGCTATTGACCAACCATTTTGAAGAGTTTTTCCATCCTGATTTAGAAGCTAAGATGTCAAGTCGTTTATGCAAATCATGATTTCCTTGTTGAATACTTCGTTTTGGAATCTATTTACAATTGTAAAAACAAGCAGCACTCGAGTATGTTAGTTCATTTTTATATTGAGAGTTCATAATGCCTTTGTAAGGTGATTGTTGCTCTAGAAAACTGATTTGTCATGCACTGGAACTGAAATTATTCTGTGCGGACATTGGACACAGCTTACTGTTTAGAGGCGAATTAGGCGAAGCCACGTCATCCGGTACCGAGCCGCGGTATCGAGCAGTACCGAGCTGCGGTTCAGAGCAGGGGGTGACAGGACACATTTTTATTGGGCTCCAGACAGCGTTCGACGTCCGCACAGAATAATTTTTCCTTGAAACTGAAAGGAACTTTGATTCAGTTTAAATACAAGCAACCTGAAAATTTATAACGGCTTTAACTCTTAAAGTTTATTTTATATCGCAGGTTCGTACGTTACACACGAGACAAACCATTTCATATATTTCTATCTGGATTCAAAGGCTGTCTTGTTGTTCAAGTCCGGATGATTATTGATGCAGCTTAGCCTAACTTTGGCTTCCAAATCCCCCTGCTTCAGCTTTTTCCCATGCATTCTCTGTATATGAAAATGGCATACTTATCTTGTACGTTGAGTTCATTCTGTAACGCTTAGAATTTGAACACCAATGCACATTACTGATTGTAACATTCTGATGAAGGTAATGTTTTTTATGTGACTAAATGATGATATAATCTTCCCAAATGGTGAATTAGACTAATTTGAGTGCCAATTTCTAATCATCCAAAGTAGATTTGTCCTTCAAGAAAGACATTCATTATATGTTTGCACCATTAAGTATTTTATTGTTCCTATCATTTAATTAGATGTCATGATCTATGACAAGATATTCATTGTAAAGAAGCATATGGAGAGTATTACTTTGCTAGTAATTATTATAATAGATTTATTTCATTTCTTTCTATCTATTGTGTTGCATATCAAGATCTGATAATGTAAAGTAGTTACTGAATATTAATCAACTAAAACAGTAGAAGTCCAAAAGTGCTATTAAAAAAAAATAATAAATAAAAAAATAAAAAATAAAAATTCTACAAAGACAGGAATGCTTTACCCATTCAAAAATTTAAAATAAACAAACACATTAGGAATTCAAAATTTTAAATCGTGTTGTTTTAAAAAGCACTTAAAAAAAAATTTAGGTGGTCTAATTTAAAATAAACAAACACATTAGGAATTCAAAATTTTAAATCGTGTTGTTTTAAAAAGCACTTAAAATTATTTTTAGGTGGTCTAATTTTTTTTTTTTTTTCAAAATAAGAACAATTGGCCACCCAACCTCTTTAAAACATCACTACTAGCAAATCCTAAAGAAATTATTACGTGTGGTTATTGGACCATATGGAAGTTAATCATGATGTGACACATTACTCAATACACAGTGATATATAATAACTGTACATAGTGAATTGGTGATGTGGCGCATCTTGATTGGCCTCCAGACGGCGTTCGGTAACCGCAATCAATAATTTTGCTAGGAGTCAGGCCTATTGATGACGTGCGCTGCATTCGCCATTGGCTAAGCCCACTACGGTGACTGATCAACCTCGCACTGATATCAACTTGATCTAGTCCACCAACACCTTTGCCTACAATGCCCACCATCCTTTCCTCCTAGATTCTAGGCAAACTCGAACTCATGGATAATGAAAATCGGCAACTTCAAAAGTCCAAACTTCAAATAAGTTTTTTTTTTCCTCCTAAATTGATTTGAACACTCCACAATTTTATAGAGAAACCCGATTTTCTCCTCTTTCAAAGTGTAAAATAAATTAATTTATAATTGCACGGAATTCAATAAAAATAAAAACCAAAATAAAATAATATATTTATTTCATTTTGAAATGTAAACATATAAGTTTTCCAATCCAAGATCATCTGCAACCGAAAAATTTATTTTTCACTCCAAAATAAAGTAATACTTCAAAATGCAGTAATTTATCTCTGATCAAACTCTATTTTTTGACATAAAAAGAATATTTCATGTATATTTTTTCTCAATCACACGTAGGGCTGCAAACGAACCGAGCCGAGCCGAGTATGTGAGTGTTCATGTCTGTGTTCATTTAATATCAGCTTGTTCAAGTTTGGTTCATGTTTGTTCAAGCTTTATTGTTTGTGTTCATGTTTGGTTCATTTAAATTAAGAAGTGTTCATGTTCAGTTCATGTTCGTTCGTTTAGT